TGTATATATATACAGCATAATCGATTATGCTGTATATATATACAAAGCATAATCGATTATGCTTTGTATATATATACAACATAATCGATTATGCTGTATATATATACAGCATAATCGATTATGCTTCGTTCTTCTGCTGCATGGCACATGCATGGGAGGGGTATTTTTAGATTTTCAAATCTTACGTGTCTTTCACCTCCTTTCTTCCCTTTTGTGCGAGGAGAGCAACAGTGCTTTCCCTCTCCTTTCTTCACCTTTCTTTCGTTCCAAATCAGGAAAAACAAACGATACTTTCCACGCCTTTCTTTGCTCGTATACAGTACTCTCCCGGAAACAAACACTACCTAAATCTACACTTCTATGTTACTCTCGCCAATTAAATTACTTTTAGACTTTTAGTTCATTATATCAAATATCATCCAATTCCACAATGTTATCTATTATTAATATAAATCCATACTTCTATATTACTCTTCTATTTACCCGTGAAAAAAAAAAAATACATTGTGTGTCTTTGTTAAAAAAAGAGAGAAAATAACATATTTATCCTAATAAATTGTATAATTATTAAAAGTAAAATAAAGAAGATAAGAGCAAATACCAAAAAAGATAATCTATTTATTACTAATAAGATTATATATTTTCTATTATCAGTCACATTATATATTTCAAAAAATAAATTTTAACATGTTTTTAAATTTGGTTTGAATCATTAAGATATGTTGTCTTAAGAGTTGAGGTTCATACAATATGTTTAGATACACGTTATAAGAGTTTTATAGAACTTTTTCTATTGAAAACTAGAAGAGTCGTGCCTCAAATAATTATACATAGACAAGTATTATAAGTTATAAAATATATAAGGAAAAAATATTACATTAAGGATATAAAGATCCACTAAAAAGTAGAAAGCAAAATGGTGATTACTAAAATGTATATCCTTTATTATAGGTATAGATAAAGAGCTTTTTTAATAGAAAAGTTTTTAAAATGTTTCTAAACTTATATTCAAACTGACTAATACTATATAAAGTCTTAAACTCAAATTTTATTATTATTATTGATAAAAAAAATATTTTCAAATGACTTGAAATTAATGTTGATATGTCCCTTTAATTTTATAATTCTCATTAATTAAAAAAATATTTTAATCAGATTGGAATTAATCTTACTATATCTTTTATCTTTTTCCATTTTAACAATACAAAAAATTCACCTGTGTTTGAATGAAAATTCAAAAAATTTGAAATTATTAAAATTTTAAATTACTTTGATTTCAAATTTTATAATTTTTTTAATTGTTTTTGTTGATAAATCAATGCAAACTTTTTAAATTTAAATTTTGATAACATAATTTTATTTTTATTATAAATAAAATTGATTTTAAACAAATATATATTAATTTTGTTAGATTTAATCTTACAAAACTAAATATTAGCCATTTTAAAATGTTAAATAATTTTTAAAAATAATATTGAGTAATATTTAGTAATTATAAAATAATTTAAATATTCAATGATTAAAAAAATATTGATATTTTTTATATCAATTTTGAAAGAGAAAATGAAGGTGAGAAAAAATAAATAAATTTTTTATAAATTTTTCATCCAAACAAAATATTTTATATTAAAATGTTTAAAAATTTTCAAAAAAAATATAATAATTACTCCATTAAAATACTCATAATATATATTTTTTTGGATTTAATTTGGGAGCAAGAAGCATAACACATGCTTGTTAAGTGATATGCATGCGATGATGCTAGTATTTTACCATGCATAATAAACATGTGGCTCGAAGCCTCCACTCCACAACTCCATCAAAACTCAAGGTACTTGTCTGGAGGACAATTGAACCAGTGGTCCAACATCATATTGTCTGGCCATAATATCGTCAGAGTTAATTTTATCATGCTGTAATTCTTCCCATATAAACGTCTAAATAAAGGTAATTTCTTTAAGAAATTGGGTAATATTATACAAGATTTGGGATAAAAAATCCTAAATTAGTCAGTACAATGCACAAAACATTGTTGCTAAATGATGCGTCAGATAATCTCCATTCATTAATACTCTCCTCGATTCGATTCTAAATATAAGTAAAAAAATAATAATCTTATATTTATTAGTCAAATATTTGAATAATTTTATCTATTTTTTATATTTAAATCTGGAGGAAGTATCATATAACGTGTTTTTATTATCTTTATTTGACTATAATCTATACCTAATATAAAAGGAATACATTTTGATAATCATCATTTGGTCTTCACTTTTTAGTGAACTATTATACTTCTTAAAATGTAAAAATAAAAATAAAAATAAATTTTTTCATATATCTCTTAATATTTGTTTATGTATAATTATTAAAGGCACGAATTATCTTGATTCTAGTTATTAATTAAAACTTTTTATTGAATAGCATTTAATTTAGTGTGCTAATCGGACAAGTTCCTTAGGTTTGTCATTATTGTAGGCTTTCTCCAAATTGAAGAGCATCATAAACAAAGAGAATTAGAGTTTTATGTGGTAATAAAGGCAAGTTGAGAAGACATGGTGCATGAGTTCATTAGTGTGCTTTCTTGACTCGTCAAAACCCAGTTGTTGACAATGGCTTTTTAGGTATAATACCATACCATATTTTTTCTTTTATACATGATAACTACGGTTGAAATATCTTATCCTCGAAAAGTTATCGCAGTGCCACAATGTAGTCCTCCTTGCCATGATGTGATTATGTGAAATGATATATTATGAAAATATAAGCCCGTTATTTGGTCTGAAATAGTGGATATGAATAAAATAAAAAAAAATGAATAGCTCATTAATCATTATCGATCATAGCTTAAATTTTATTTCTGATAAAACTTCGTCAACTGAATTTGTGCAATTTTGTAATTATCATTAGGGAATTATTATGATACTTTTAAAAATTAATTATTTTGATACCTTTTCCGAGATGAATCAATAAAATAAATATGTTGATTAATGATGTTGCATCTAAAATAAAAAAAAAATTATTTTATTTTATTTAAGTTTTTATTATTTATTTTTAACTCCTTATCAGTTACTTTATTTATTTTTTTATTATAAGTAAAAATAATTAAAAATAATTATTATTTGTATTATATTTTATTATTTTTATAATATTTTTCTAAATTATCCTTAATATAGATGTAAAAAAATACAACTAAAAAACTATATATTGAATAAAATAAAAGTAGTTAAATTTATTTATATTTAAAAAATTTGTTTTATTTTTTATAGTAAAAAATAAAGAGAGTATTTTTTTAAAAACAGAAAACTAATTATCAATTACGTATTTTATAACCTTAGGTGAAAGAAGACAGGAAGGTGCGGAACAACTGGAAGGAGCCTAGCCCTTCTGGATACAACATTGATGGTCCCAACATATGCAGTAATATTCAGCAATTCCGATGGCAGAATGTAGGTTATTTCGAGTAAAAGAACCTTTGACACAAGACCACCAAGAGTGGGTCGCACAACGCCATAACCCATTGAAAGAGAGAGAATAAGAAGTTGCGAATATTGATTTTCTTATAGCCCCAACAGTGACAACTCATGTTGTGAGCCTTATTCCACTGTTATTGAAATTGACATACTCAAAATACCAAACAACCATCTCAAACTATCCAACCAAGAGCAATGACAACTGTGATACTGTGCTGAAGTTGCACTACATCATCTCAAAACCTCGGGTACTAA